GAGGATGATGATAATGAAAATGATGAGGATGATAATGATGAGGATGATGATGATGATGAAGATAATGATGATGATGAGGAGGAGGATAAGGATGATGATGTTGATAATGATGATGATGAGGAGGATGAGGATGATGACGATAATGAGGATGAAGAGAAGGAGAAGGAAAAGTCTAGGATGATATTGATAAAAATGAGGATAATTTTTGGTTCATAACTATGTTGTTGTTATTGTAACGGACTCGAGAACATGGTACCAGCTGGCAAGATTGGTGGGAAAAGAGCGAGAGGGAAGGCAAAAGAGATAATTACATGAATGATTTAGTCACTGAAATTAATGAGACAAGAACTCTGAACTGATCCGTGATTCTGGTGATCGTAGTAGCAAAACTTGTGCTTACCGGCGCGCCACAGATGCTGCAGTCCATTCCTCGAACATGTCCAACAAGCTCCGACGATTACTTTGGCCATATAAGGCGACTCTTTATCCTCTTCTTCTTCTTCAAAGCGATTAACGGCTGTGAATTCAGTGGGAAATTTCTAGTTGTTCGTCCACTTCTGAACTTTGGTCATGTTCCGGAACTTTAGTTCTGCATGCACAACAGTTTTACAGATCTGGCTGATTTCTACGGTGTGGCAATAACTAGTGCTACCCATAGAAGACTGGGGTACGAAACTGTTCCTGCCCACGACACTTTATGGCAAACGGCAAAATTGATAATGATGATGATTGGTCTGCTCCGGTGTGTCACACTTATTGCCAACTGTACTCTTAACTTCATTATATCTTCGGCAGTCCCCGTTGTGTAGTGGCTAGACATTCGCCTGCGGATCTGAAAGTCGTGGGTTCGAGTCCGAATGGAGCAGCACATTTTTAAATTCCAAAAATGACTTTGGCTCTCAGGTCGACCCAGTCTTAATCGGGTACCAGGTAATAGTCGTGGGAAGTAAAGGCGGCCGGCGTTATGTTAACTGCACCACCCACCAAGATTGGTTTATAACATATAGTTAGTTAGTTGCGTATCCTTTACAGGACGTTTCAGAACCAACCCTAGCATTTGTTGGCTGATTGTCATTTTTATAAGCAACGTTACGTACAGTAGTTTGCCATTGCTCCTGGACGGTCGGCTTCTCGATAATACTGTCGAAACTAACGCAAGGCGCAGAGCCCGCAGCTGGGATAAAACCCGCCACCCCGGCATTACGAAGCGCGTTCGCAACGACTTAGCCACAGACGCCGACACATAGACCCCCCCCCCCTTCCCCCGAATTGCCCAATACATCTGATGGTGTGAAAAGGGCTTTACCTTACCTTTAATCATAGCTTCTTTGGAGGTGAAAAGTGTCCCTCGGCGGTGTCCTGATGGTTTCTCTATTCCACATGGGACTCTTCAGAGAGCAAATCAATCCTTCCGGTAGGTTTGGTGAGGATGAAAACAGACAAAACGAGGAAGATTTAACAAAACATACAGACAGACATGGACAATTTCAGAGAGCTTACAGACAGACATGGACAATTTCAGAGAACTTACAGACAGACATGGACAATTTCAGAGAACTTACAGACATGGATATTTTCATAAAACTTACAGACGTGGACAATTTCAGAGAACTTACAGATATGGACAATTTTAGAGAACTTACAGACATGGACAATTTCATAGAACTTACAGACATGGATAATTTTAGAGAACTTACAAACAGACATGGACAATTTCAGAGAACTTACAGACAGACATGGAAAATTTCAGAGAACCTACAGACAGACGTTGACAATTTCAGAGAACTTACAGACATGGACAATTTCAGAGAACTTACAGACATGGACAAATTCAGAGAACTTACAGACAGACATGGACAATTTCGGAGAACTTACAGATATACAAGGACAATTTCAGAGAAATTACAGACATGGACAATTTCAGAGAACTTACAGACAGACATGGACAATTTCAGAGAACTTACAGACAGACATGGACAATTTCAGAGAACTTACAGACAGACATGGACAATTTCAGAGAACTTACAGACATGGACTATTTCAGAGAACTTACAGACAGACATGGACTATTTCAGAGAACCTACAGACATGGACAATTTCAGAGAACTTACAGACAGACATGGACATTTTCAGAAAATTTATAGGCATCGACAATTTCAGAGAACATACAGACAGACATGGGCCTTTTCAGAGAACTTACAGACAGACCTGGACAGTTTCAGAGAAATTACAGACAGATATGGATAATTTCAGAGAACTTACAGACAGACATGGACAATTTCAGAGAACTTACACACAGACCTGGACAGTTTCAGAGAAATTACAGACAGACATTGATAATTTCAGAGAACTTATAGACAGACATGGACACTTTCAGAGAACTTACAGACAGACATGAACAATTTCAGAGAACTTACAGACAGACATGGACAATTTCAGAGAACCTACAGAAAGACATGGACTTTTTTAGAGAACTTACAGACATGGACCTTTTCAGAGAACTTACAGACAGACATGGACATTTTCATAAAACTTACAGACATAGACAATTTCAGAGAACTTACAGACATGGACAATTTAGAGAACTTACAAACAGACATGGACAATTTCAGAGAACTTACAGACAGACATGGACATTTTCAGAGAACTTACAGACATGGACATTTTCAGAGAACTTACAGACAGACATGGACAATTTCAGAGAACTTACAGACAGACATGGACAATTTCAGAGAACTTACAGACAGACATTGACAATTTCAGAGAACTTACAGACATGGACGATTTCAGAGAACTCACCTACAGACATGGACATTTTCAGAAAATTTATAGACATGAACAATTTTAGAGAACGTACAGACAGATATGGACCTTTTCAGAGAACTTACAGACAGATATGGACAATTTCAGAAAACTTACAGAAAGACATGGACAATTTCAGAGAACTTACAGACAGACATGGACAGTTTCAGAGAGCTTACAGACATACATGGATAATTTCAGAGAACTTATAGACAGACCTGGAGAATTTCAGGGAACTTACAGACAGACATGAACAATTTCAGAGAACTTACAGACAGACATGAACAATTTCAGAGAACTTACAGACATGGACAATTTTAGATAACTTACAGACATAGACAATTTCAGAGAACTTACAGACAGACCTGGATAATTTAGAGAACAAACTGACAGACATTGATAATTTTAGAAAATATACAGACCATGAAAATATCAGAATGTATACTAAAAAACAAGGACAAGTTAAGAAATAAGACAAACAAACAAGAAAATATTGCAGATATGTTCACATATCGTAGCGTATCCAGCATCTGGTTGTCTATTTTCATATACAAATCTTTTTTTATACACAAATCTTTTTTCATACAAACATCTTTTTTTATACACACATCTTTTTTCATACACAAATCTATTTTTGTACACACATCTTTTTTCATACACAAATCTATTTTCATACACAAATCTATTTTTATACACACATCTTTTTTCATACACAAATCTATTTGTATACACAAATCTATTTTCATACACAAATCTATTTTCATACACAAAACTATTTTTATACACACATCTTTTTTCATACACAAATCTATTTTCATACACAAATCTATTAATATACACACATCTTTTTTCATACACAAATCTATTTGTATCCACATATCTATTTTCATACACAAATCTATTTTCATACACAAATCTATTTTTATACACACATCTTTTTTCATACACAAATCTTTTTTTATACACAAATCTATTTTCATACACAAATCTATTTTCATACACAAATCTATTTTTATACACACATCTTTTTTCATACACAAATCTATTTTCATACAGAAATCTATATCAAACACAAATCTATTTTCGATGAAGGTTATTATAGTCAGTATGGGTTGTCTTTACGTCCCTGAATATTCCCCATTATCGACTTCACATGTGGTCCACATGGAAATCCGTGTATTTCTTTTCCAATATCCCCTACATGTCTGTCTGTCTGTC